CAAATAAAAATAATCCAAATAGTTCTTGAATGATGATGATGTCCTTGACCAACAGTACACTGGGTACTAGACATGCAGCAATAATCCGTAAATTTTTCAGGCATAAGAATCTGAAATTCTGTTTTGATCCCAAATGAGACACTTACCAAAAAGACATTAAAATACATGGCCAGTGTGAGCCACCAGAGACAGTTGATCCTAGTTTGGGCTGCACATACCAGGTGGCAAAATTAAACCTTCTATGAGTACATGTAATTTAGCAAATATACCCCGCACCCGAATATACCTCGCGTTTTTTTCTATTTGAGTAAAAAAATCTTGTATACCCCACGCACGAATATAACCCGCGGGGTATACAAGACTTCTCTGTGCCGGGGGTATATTTGCTGGGGGGTATATTTATGGTGCGGGGGGGGGGATAGCCATTCAACGCCCCAGGTTCCAGCGCAGCTGCCAGCCTCTGGGCGAGGGAGTGCTCATCCCACAGGTTCCTCTGCAGGTACAGGAAGGGGCGGGTGTGCAGGGTTTGTAAAAACAAATATAACACGTGGGTTATATTCGCTAAATTACAGTACCTTGAATATTTCCTCCTATTTCTACCCCTGTCTAGTGTCTGTAAAGCTATTAAGGCCTGATCTACACTGGTTAGATTAGTACAGCTTAAAAAAATAAATTCACACTGCCTAACCATCATAATTACACTGATATGAGCCCTTACGTGAACTCAGTTATATTGGTGTGAAGGTTCCTTATGTTGATATAGTTATTTCCCTTTCCATGTGAGAATATTTGTACTGGTACCAATTTAACTGAAACCACACTAGCAACATTGTACTGCTTTATACCAGCATTGTTAAAATTATACAATTTATGCAAGGCCTGAGTGTGATTTTGTTCACTTAACTTTCAGAGATTCTGAAGCAAAATGTACACTTTTGTTCATAAACGGATAGTCAGGTTCTCTACCAGTCAATAAGAAGAGGTTACTTAAGGCCAGTGGAAACAAAACTGAACTTTCTGTACTTTCAGGGGGTGAAACTGTTATATTTATATTGTGTTTAAAAATGCATGTTAACATGTTTTAACTGATACATTTTAAATCCCAATCAAAAAATTTTGCCCTCCCGGTTCAAAGTCAGTGCTGGATGTTTGGGTAATTATGATGATGACATAACTATGTACTACATTGAATACATAATTAACTAAGTCATTCCACATCATGATACAGGAAAAATGTAAGTAGGAAATATAGAGAATCAGCTGAATAGTTTATTACTTAATATACAACCTGTAATCAGTTGCCATTTATGTTGAAATTATTTTTATGCTTGTGATATATAAATGGTTTTGAAATGTTGGCTATAGGTAAAATATATGATCTGTATGGATGGGCTAAAGAGCTAGATATTTATTTTATAGTTATTAACCCACTGAGTGAGTTCATGCTTTTGAAAGATAAAAATTTTG